TGTCAAAAGGGGGTAAAGTTACTCTTATCCAGAGTACGTTGTCGAGCCTTCCAACTTATTTTCTTTCTTTGTTCCAAATCCCTTGTTCTGTTGCAGATAGGATTGAAAAAATTCAAAGGGATTTCCCTTGGGGAGGTAAGGGCGATGAGTTCAAGTACCACCTTGTTAGATGGGAGGAAGTTTGCAAACCCGTGAAATTGGGTGGACTTGGAATAAGACGTTTAGTTCCTTTCAATCAAGCTCTCCAAGGTAAATGGTTATGGAGATATGGAAGGGAAAGACATCGTCCATGGCAGAGGTTAGTTTCTTGTCGATATGGGGAAGAGGCTGGAGGTTGGTCTACTCGTTCGGTTACCCTGACGGGAGGAGTCGGTATGTGGAAGGCTATTCGGAAGGGATGGGATGTTTTTTCAGCTCATATCAGATTTAAACTTCGTGACGGTCGTTGTATAAGGTTTTGGGAAGATCTCTGGTGTGGGGAACAACCACTATCTTATGCATTTCCAGCTTATTTAGTATTGCTGTTGATAAACACGCCTACGTAGTTGACTATTATCGGCTTGATAGCAGCGGGATTATATGGGATGTGCTTTTTCGACGCTCTTTTCAGGATTGGGAGATGGACGAGGTATGTGCTTTTCTGGATCTTCTGTATCGGCAGGAGGGCGTAGGCGGTGGTAATGATGTTTTATTATGGGCTCCTCCTTCTCATGGTCGCTTTGAAGTTAGATCATTATTCTTATGTTTGTCAAATTTTGCTAATCGTGATTTCCCATGGAAAACTATTTGGCGATCTATGGCTCCAACTAGGGTGGCTTTCTTTGTTTGGACTGCAGTGTGAGGACAGATTCTGACAATTGATAATTTAAGAAGAAGGGGCAATTGTATTGTTAATCGATGTTGTCTATACAAGGATGATGAGGAGTCCGTTGATCACCTCCTTTTGCATTGCCCTGTGGCGAACGACTGTTGGAATCTCATTATTGGGTTGTTTGGCATGTGTTAGGTTATGCCACATTCTACTAAGGAATTAATTCATGTCTGGAGAAGCTGTCGAGTGAGAAGAGATGTTCGCGATTTCTGGAGAATTGTGCCACATTGTGTATTGTGGTGTATTTGGAAGGAGAGAAATAATAGGATGTTCGAAGGGAATGAGACGTCTACGGCTATGGTCAAACTTTACATTCTTCGTTCTCTTTTCAATTATGTGAAGAGGAGCTTTTGTTCTTCTTCTGATGATTTAATTACTTTCTTGGATTCTTTGGGGCCTTAGTCCCGGTTCCTCTTTTGTAATTGGGATGCGTTCCCTTTTTGAACGCCTTTTTTAATGCTATTTTTACTTATCAAAAAAAAAAAAAAAATCAGTTAGACATTTCCCACCTGCTATTTGCGGATGATACCATTGTCTTTTGTGATGCTAATCTTCATTAGCTGAGGTATTTAAGGTGCGTGTTGGCATGTTTCCAAGTTGTTTCTGGTTTAGAGATCAATATTGGAAAAGGGGAGATTGTCCCAGTTAGGGGGTGAAGGATATTCAAGTATCGGCTAATATGCTAGGATGTGGTATTGGCTCTTTTTCGATCTCCTACTTGGGACTCCATTTGGGAGCCTTGTCGAGGAGAATTTCTGTTTGGGATCCAATTGTTGAGAGGTTTAAGAGGAGGCTTGCAGATTGGAAGAAGCAATGCTTGTCAAAAGGGGAAAGGGTTACTCTTATGAAAAGCACACTCTCAAGCCTCCCGGCCTACTTTATGTCGCTTTTTCCGATGCCCAAGACAATTGCTAGAAGATTTGATGATATTCAGAGGAAGTTCTTGTGGGGCGGTTTAGGAGATAAGTTCAAGTATCACTTGGTTAACTGGGAAAGAGTGTGTTCTCCTGTTAAAATTAGGGGTTTGGACATTCAAAGGTTGGATGTGTTTAATAAGGCACTGTTGGGCAAGTGGTTGTGGAGATTTGGGAAAGAGAGGTCCAAGCTTTGGAGACGTGTCATCGCTTGTCATTACAGGGAGGGTGATGGTGGGTGGCAGTCTAGGGAGGCTAGATTCCCAGCGGGTATAGGCTCTTGGAAACTTATCCGTAGAGGTTGGGATGAACACTCTAAAAGGATTCGGTTCAAGGTTCGAAGTGGAAGAAATGTCAAGTTTTGGGAAGACAGATGGTGTGGGGATCCAGCTTTGGCCCGTAGGTTCCCTCAACTTTACCAGATTGGTATGAATAGAGATGTTGTAGTTGTTGACTAATATCGCCTTGATAATGGGAGGGTGGCTTGGAATATGCAGTTCCGTAGAGAGTTCCATGATTGGGAACTATTGGAGGTTATAGAATTTCTAGCATTCACTATAGGCAGGTGGTGGTCGGGGTGGGCATAGATGAGATGGTGTGGGTGGGTACCTCAAGAGGGGTGTTCGAGGTAAAGTTCTTCTATTTTAGTATTGTGGAGCTTCATAGTCCGGCTTTTCATTGGAAAGCCATTTGGAGGACAAAAGCACCACTGAAGGTGGCTTTTATCTTGTGGACAGATGCTTTGGAAAGCATCCTCATTATTGATAATCTTATAAGAAGAAGTCAAGTTGTAGTTAACATGTGCTACATGTGTAAAAAAATGGGGGAATCTGTTAGCCATCTTCTAATTCATTGCTCGGTGGCAATTGATGTTCGGTCTTTGTTTTTGGTTGCATTTGGTCTTCCATGGGTGTTCTCAAAATCTACGGTTGACTTGCTAGAGACTTGGAGAGGGTGTATAGTGGAGAGCCAAGTCAAAGATGCTTGGAGGGCTACTCCCCTTTGTATATTGTGGGGTTTGTGATGTGAGAGAAATAGCAGATACTTTGAGGGAGAGGAGTCTCCTATTTGGGCTCTTAAGTATGGTATACTCTCTTCTTTATTCTTTTGGGTAAATGGGCGGGATTGTAGTTCAATGGATTGCCTTTAGGATTTTGTTGATAGCTTAAAGCTATAGTGTCATCATGGACAGCGGTTGTCTTCTTTGGGAGCGCTCCCCTTTTGAGCATTTTTATGAAATATTTCTTATCAAAAAATAATAATAATAAGAGTTATTCGACTGTTGATGTATATCATTTAGAGGTTTATGTTGTCGATGGTAAGAAGATTTTGATGTTTTTGGAGAGAAAATATTGAGATTAATTATTAAGGATAAATAGGTCAAGTTAAAATCTAGGTTAATTGTTGAAGGAATTTCAAAATTGCATCCACCAAACAACTTTTTCTTGTAAATTCCTTCAACTGAAAGGCATTTTTTTTTTTTTTTGATAAGTAAAATTTTATTGAAAGCGCTCAAAAAGGGAGCGGAACCCAAAGAAACACAAGGGCCAAAGGTGCCTTAGACCTTCAAAGAGGCCAAAAAAAAACAACAATCTCCTCCGTAGATCTATAATCTCTCCCTGAGACCCAACAAAAAAGAGTGGAAATAATAGAGAACTTAAGCATAGAAATATGTTTCTTTTTTCCATCGAAATATCTCCTATTTCTCTCAAGCCAAATACACCACCAAATACAAAGAGGCGTAGCCCTCCAAGCATCCTGAATGAGAGCCCCAACAGAGACACCTCTCCAAGCCTCGATCAACCCTCTAAAGGAACAAGGCATAACCCAATGAACCCCAAATAATTCAAGCATCAAATCCCAACAGTCTCTGGCCATACTGCAATGTAAAAGAAGGTGATCAACTGTTTCCTCATCACACAAGCACATATAACAATGATTGACCACCACCTGATTCCTTCTCCTCAAATTATCCTGGGTTAAAATATTACCTAGGACGAAAGTCCAAGCAAAGAAGGCAGCCTTGAGGGGAGCCTTAGAACGCCAAATAGATTTCCAAGGTCTCCGGAAACAACCTAAAGGCACCTGAAAAAGGACCTAACCTCGAAACGACCCTATGAGTTAGGATCCCAGAACCAACAATCCGACTCCCCAACTGTGTTCAGTTTAGGAGGCATTTTACAAAGGCAATCCAATGAAAGGAATTTTAGATTTGGGAAGCTCCCCCAAACAGAGCCAAAATCGTTGCACATTCCATGCTTAGACATATGTGTAAATAAAGTCAAATCCTATGATTCTAGCTTATCGTATATCGGCTAATATATCCCTGCTAACACTCCACCTCAAGTTGGTGCGTGAAAATCTGAGATGCCCAACTTGGACAATGCATATTCAGTCACGGTCTTTATAAATATATAGCCAACAACTATGTTTGGCTGCATTAAATTGACTAGCCAAGACATAACCATGGCGCTTTCTCCAAACCACCACGGATAAATCTTATCTCACTGAGTTGTTGTCTCCTTAGACCATAAACCATTGTTAATGTCTCCTCAAACCATAAGCAACCAATCACAGACCATAAACCTATCTCCTCAGGCCATTTACCTTCATACACATGTTTAAAATATGTAGATGAAAGAATAAAAAATGTCTCCTCAAACCATAAATAATCAACAATGTCTCCTCAAACCATTCCCCTTCATACACATGTTTAAAAATATGTAGATGAAAGGATCACCTATGTCTCCTCAAACCACAAACCATAAAAATGTCTCCTCATACCATTCCCGAATGGATATAAATGCTTGAATGACATTAATAATATGTAAAGGCTTGAATGAGACTTAATAATGTAAAGGCTTGAATGAGACTTAAATACTCGTTCATGGCTCTAGTTTTTATATGCTAAAAAGAGCACATGTAAATATTAATTCCAAGAAAGGAAACTGAATAAAATTGTTGCATATTCTATACCTAGACATATGCGTGAATAAAGTCAGATCCTATGATTCTAGCCTACCACATCTCGGCTAATATGGTAAGTTACATCCATGATTCTAGCCTATCATATCTCAGCTAACAGATAGACTTTGATTTTTTTTTATGATAACAATTTTTGTAATTGAAAGAGAATATAATCAAGAAAAGTGTAATAACAGATCAAGATAAATAAATGGTAACTAAACTCAGGACATGGAAAATGAAATATAAACCTGCATGCAGACAAGTTTGGAGTCTCCCAGAACACGAACATTTGTAAACCCCTTTTTGAGTGCATATCTCAACCCTAAAATCACGGCTCTATATTCAGCAACATTATTGGTAGCTATGCCCAAACCTTCACGCAATCTACAAATCTATACAAGATACAGGGTTAGAGATATGAAGTATGAAAAAGAAAATCTAATCCCAAAAAGTGGATTGTATACCACGCTTCCATCATTATTTCGCAGCACAGCTCCTGCACCAGCTTGTCCAGGATTTCCTTTTGAAGCACCATCAAACTCCAGAATACAAGAACGCTGTGTACAATTATGGAAATCAGGGTTTTGTTGCACCATGAATTCAGAAAAGCATCACAATATAAAACTTTCTTAACCTGAGCCTGACAAAACATTATTGAATTTTTATTTATCCAACGTAAAAGTTGACCAAAATTTTGCACAAATCAATGGTGGGTAGCCCCACCACCCAATCCAAGATCCACACGTTTCACTTTATTAACTCATAAGGGAAAAGGAAAGAACTAAAAGAATGGAGAGAGAGAGAGAGAGAGAGAGAGAGAGAGAGAGAGAACATTCATGTTTTGTATCCAATAGGCATCATTACAACATTCACTCACAGTAGAAGACAGAGCTTGGGCCTCGACATGAGAATCTAACTTAACATGCTTTTTCAAGGGATCAATTGAAATAGATGTTGATCCAACAGCTCCCTGCAAAGTAAAATGCACATGAACAAAAGATAGCCAAAATAAAGTCAAGACCCTCCCAAGTCATTGAACATAATATTCAAGCACAGTAGCAAGAATCAATCATCTTATATGCAAGAATGTATATCTGGCTATGGTGCATTCAACTACATACAACGTTACTGGATGACATTTTGCAAAGACTAAATGAACTACATATGTTTTTTGTTTTTTTTTTGTGACATGTAAACAAACTACATACAAGATTAAATAGATGTTCTACACATGCAAAAGATGTTTTTAGCAGCCTATCCACAACCCCCATAATCAGTAAGTAAAGTTTGTTATGATCTAATCAGAGTGATTAGACATCCCTACACTACACATTTTAATGCTGATTCCGATTTTTACTTGGTAATCATATGGATGGAACAGGCAGCAATTTTTTACTAAGTTACCACTGTTTCTTCCCTTGCTTTGTTCCTCTTCCCCTCAGGGAGTGAAGATGGTGTGGCAAGAGCTACTAATGTTTCTGCCTCTTTTTCCTTGTTATTTTTTTTCTTTCTTATTTACATGGATATTTTATGAAGGGCCCCCTTTTCCTTCTTTCATTATTGAGCTTGATTCATGATAATAAAGACTTGTTTTGCAATGCCATTGAGAGTTGAATTCAAATGACCGCTTAACCTGGCTAGAAATATATAATCAATATAGTAATTGAATTATTACCAAATTCAAAAGAAAGACTACCCAAAGCTGCGGGGTTATATTTTTGGTAAGATTTGCTTGAAAAGAAAAAAACAATGGTTTTGCTTTAAGAAACTTCAACAAAATTTACAAATGAAGTGTAATGCTCCATGAAAACTAAACAAATCTGAGAATAAATAATGGGAAGAAAACAAGAAGAGAAGGCCCATCCTTCAAGCTGTTACATTCCATATTTAGAGCTCAAGGCTTGCTTGAGGAGGCAATTGGTAGTGGCCATGATTTCTTGAAAAACAAGGCAGATGACGGAAACCGCCAAAGAATGGCACGTCTCAAACAAAGAAGGCCAGCATCGCAACAGTAAGCTGGAAACCTCTATTCCTGAGCCCGGAGAAGTGCTCCTGACACCTCTCGTGTAAATACATAAGTACATGTTTTGATGATCCGTATTACTTCAGAAAGCGTGATGATGTGAACCAGTTCAACTGGCCAACTAAAGCGGGGCCTTCGGCACTATCTTTTTCATATATTAAACATATTTGTACATTGTAGTATGAATAATCTGATATCAGCATATGTGGTATCACTTTATGTGGTCTGAATAATCTGATATCAGCATATTGAATCTGTGTGATCACATATGCATTCAACCAGTCACTAATTTCTTTAAAACTGAACAAGTAACAATTACAGTATCGAGGTCTATTGTCTGCCTCCAATGCATTTGATTATGATCATTAAAAGGTTAAGTCCAGAGCAGAAAAGGAATAAATTTAGCCCACAGTTCCTCCTATGGAATATCAACAATTACATGCCATTCCTTGTAAGCCACTTATAGAATCAACAGAACTTAGTTATTATCAGATTGTGCCTCTTAGAAGGACCTCATGTATCAATGTACTTGACTCCGCTGCCATTAGTGCATGCACATTTTAATATTAATCAATAAATGGAATGAAATTGGTCGTTCTGCTTTGATTGCCAACCCAATAGAAACATAAGGATATAGAATTTGGGGAAGTGATTGCAAATGCTATCTCTTCTTGTCTCGACTGGGGAGCTCCTTCCCTCTGTCAAAGTGAAAAAAGGCAATAAAGGAAGAAGATCACGTTCGAGGTCACGAGGAGCAATTCTAGGAATAGCCATTCTAGAACAATCAATCAATTTCTCATCATAATTGCTACATCTTTCAAAAAAAAAAATTAAATTAGATTAAATTAAATTAAATTAAAGTAATATTTCATTATAAAGGGAGCTCAAGAGGGGAACAAACCCCATAGGAGTCTATATTTCATTAACGCAAAAGAATAAAGTATGAAGAATACTATATTTAAGAGTATAGGAGTCTCCTCTCCTTCAAAGGATCTCCGAATCCTCTCACGCCACAAACCCCACCATAAACAAAGGGGAATGGCCCCTCCAAACATCCCTGACTCGGCTCTCCACCAGACACCCTCTCCAAGCCTCAATCATCTCCATTGTGGATCTTAGGAACACCCAAGACACACCAAACACAACCAAAAACATAGCCCAAACATCCCTCGTCACTGGGCAATGAAGAAGGCGATTCATAGTTCTTCTGTCCTCTTGCACATGCAACACCAATTAACCACGATATGCCTTCTTTTCTTGATATTGCTGAGAGTAAGAATGCTTCCATGAGCACCACACCATGCAAAAAACGCCACATTCAAGGGGGCTTTCGACCTCCAAATCACCTTCCATGGGAAAGAGTGACCTGGAGTCACCACAAGACTACGATAGAAAGCCCTAATCTCAAACACCCCTATTGGCAGACCCATCCACACAATCTCATCCATCCCCACCCCTCCACCTCCTGGCTATAGAGCAGAGCTAAGAATTCAGCAATCTCCATGAGCTCCCAACCATGAAACTCTCTACAAAACTGCACATCCCAAGTCAACCTCCCACTATCAAGACGATAACAGTCGGCAACCAAAGCATGTCTACTCGAACAAATCCTGAACAACCGAGAGAACCTACATGCCCACCAGAGATCCTCCCAAAACCTTAGATTCCCACTCCGAACTAAACCAAATACATTTGGAAAACTCATCCCACCCCTTCCAGATAAGCTTCCAAATGCCCACCTGTTGGAAATCTCCCCCCTTCCCCCCCCCCCACCCAAAATACCGGCAAGCAATGACTCTCCTCCATAAACATGGCCTCTCACACCCGAACCTCCCAATACCGGCAAGCAATGACTCTCCTCCATAAACATGGCCTCTTGCACCCGAACCTCCATAACCATTTACCTAACAAAGCATTGTTAAACAACTCCAATCTCTAAATATCCAAACCCCCTTTTGAATAGTTAAGCACATCTCCTAGTTCACCAAATGGTATTAAACTCATCACCAATGCCACCACCCAGGAAGTCTTCTCTTGAATCGCTCAACCACGGGATCCCAAACTGAAATCCTCCTCAAAATTGCCCCCCAAGGGCAGACCTAGATAGGATATCGGGAGTGTGCGAAAGCGATAAATTTGTTCACAAGGAACAGTTTACTTTGAATCCACATAAAGAAGGATAAAGTCAGAGAAATATGATATTGTATTTATATAATTGAAGGAGTAAAAAGTTATTTCTACACTTAGCAGTACACATATTTATAATATAAGAAAAACTAATACTAAAGGGAACTAAAAACATAAAGAAACCTAATAGCAAAAGCAAAATAACACTAAAAATAAGCCTAAAAATAAAGTTTCTCTAAAAATTTCAAAAAAAATAGAATAAGAAACCTGATAAATAAAAAATACTAAATCTAAAATTTGAGAGCAATCAGACTTCGTTTACGCCTCAAACAAAAATCCGGAAATAATCGACAGGCCTCCTAACAGATAAGAGAACCCGATTTCAAAGCCCTAAACGAAGCTAAAAACCTAGTAGGCTTTTCTCAAAAAGTAGTTTACACCCAAAAAAACACTCTATAAGGCCGAAAACGAACTTGTCGAACTATTCAAAACTCTATCCTACATCACAACCCCACACCCAAGATTAATTGCTAAGTCCTAAATTATGTCGACTGCTCCGATTGGAACCAACTTGCTCTTTCCAATGTTGATCTTTAATTCTTAAACGACTTGGAAACAAGCCTGAACACACCTCAAAAACCTCAATTGTTCCACCCTAGCATCACAAAAGACGATGGTATCATCCGCAAAGAGCAAATGAGAGAGAACATTTCTCACCGCGAAACCTCGAATAAAAGCCAACTCTTTTGCTCTCCTTATCAATATGTTGAAAGCTTGCATAAGAATGATGAACAAAAATGGAGAGGGGCGTAAACCTCGAGAGCTAACGAAGAAACTATTTGGGGAACCATTAACCAAGATTGAGAGTTGCACTGTCGAGATGCATTGGTAAATCCAATTCCTCCATCTAGTGCCAAACCCCGTCCTCTCAAGCAAATACAGCAAAAAATTCCAACAAATACGATCATAAGCCTTCTCGATGTCCAATTTGCAAATAATCCCAGAAACACCAATTCTAGCTCTGGCTTCCAAACACTCACTAGCAAGATTGAATCCAAAATCTGACGATCGCCAATGAAAGCATTATGGGACTCCGAGATCACCTCCTCCAGAACTCTCCTTAAATGGATCGCTAAAACTTTAGCAAGAATCTTGTAAACCGCTCCCACCAAACTAATCGGTCTAAAGTCCTTAGCCACCAATGCACCACCCTTTTTAGGAATACGGGTAATGAAGGATGCATTGAGACTCTTCTTAAAGTGCCCTCTAGAATGAAAATAACTCAAAGTACCCATCACCGCAGGCTTCACCACCTCCCAATTATGCTGAAAGAAAGCCAAAGAAAAACCAATATGATTACCTCTTCTATAAGCATTAGCCAGGCAATGAAAATACTTCGGGCCAGCTACTTGGTTTGTAATTCTGAGAACAGTTTTTTGTTTTCAGAAAACTGAAAACATAAAATTGTACAAAAAGGCCTGTTTTCGGATAACTGTCTTTTATAGTTCTCTGAAAACAGTTTTCTTTTCTCTGAATTCTTGAGAACTGTTTTCAGAGTTACAAACCAAGCAGTCCCTTCGTATTCCGATCCCCCTCTTTCAACCACAACGCTCTAGACTTCTGTCTCTATAAGACTCCTCCATCAATAGAATCTCACCAAAACTCTGCCTTGCATTCCTCTCTCCTACTCGACTCCAAATCACTAAGGCCACCCTCTTCCTCCTTGTCCAAATATGAAATTTCAAGAAGGATTCTATTTTTGCACCATTCAAGATTGTCAAACACTTCCTTCTTGCAGACTTTAATATCACCCATAGTTGTTAAAGGCTCAAGGCGCACAAAAGCACAAATGCCTCCTGGAGCCTGAGGCGCAAGGTGCAAGGCGAGGCGCGCGCCCGACTGAAGTAAGGCGCACGTTGAAAAAAAACAAAACAAAACCCACCCAATAAAGTATTAAAGATGCAATAGTATATATAAAGATTGCAATAATGTTTGGATGCTAGAAAATTTGAGTTCATCTTGCAAAAATCACATGGATGTGCTATTACTACTTTTAAGTCAAATCAAATCTAATTTTGATTAAGCACGATTTAAGCACGAATAAAACGTTTTTGCAAGTTGCAAGCACCATGTTTGGATGCATTAAATAGAAATTATGAATTTATCTTGCAAAAACCACAAGGATCAACTGATCAAGGATGTGCTATATTTTCAAATCAAATCAATCTAATTTTCTATAAGCACCATGAGTGATTGATTAGGTATATCTCTATTATCTGTTTTAATAAGGAGTAAACAAAATCAATCAGGCGCATCACCAAACACATGCAAGGCAGTAAGGCACTAATCTACAGAAACAACAACTACGCAAAAACCCTCAAAAAAACAGAGGACCAACATCATCGAGATTCTAGACAAGCATAAAAATAAATAAAAAAAATCTGCCAAAAGCAAAAGGAAAGAACTCAAAGAACTGAAAGAAGAGAGAGCCGAGAGAAGAAGATGAAGAAGAAAAAGAAAAAGAAAAAAAAAAATCTGACATTCTGAGGAGAGAAGAGAGAAGAAGAAGAGAGAGGAGGAGGAGAAGAAGAGAGAGAAGAAGAAGAAGAAAAGAAGAAGAAGAGAGTAAAAAAAAAAATCTGACATTCTGACGAGAGAAGAGGAGAGAAGAAGAAGAGAGAGAAGGAGGAGGAGAAGAGAGAAGAAGAAAAGAAGAAGAAGAAAAGAAGAGAGAAAAAAAAAAAAAAAATATGACAGATTCGGTTAGAAGAGAAGAGAGAAGAAGAAGAGAGAGGAGGAAAGAAGGAGAGAGAGAAGGAGAACTGACCGGCAGATCTAAGAGGACCGAGACTGAGAGAGCCGGCAGATTCGAGAGCTTCGCAGATATCGTCTTCGCTGCCGGCAGATCTGTCTCTTTCCACTTTTGCTTTTGGTTTTCTTTTTATTTTTTCGTTTTGTAACTCGTAAGTTGTGTAATAAACAAATAAAAAGTAATAATAAACAATTAATAAACAAATAATAAAGTATAAAAAACTGAAAAAATAACAAAACAACTATAAAAAAGGTCCCTTTTTCAAGAGGCGCGCCTTCTGTGCGCCTGTGGCCTTGCGCCTGTTATACAAAGGCAGCCGCCCTATTCAACCCCAGCGCCTTAAGCCATTGGAGGCGACGTGGTGGCACCTGGAGGCGCCTTTAACAACTATGATATCACCTTTCAGCAACCTAAGTTTATATGCTAAAATGAACCTCGAGCTGCCCCCTAACCTCATAACAGGACCACCAATGCTGGACCCTTGATTTAAAATCCTCCGCACGAAGCTACGGGACCAGAAGAAATCATGGGTTTAGCTGAACATCAAAAGGGCCTTTCGCAGAAACCCTGGGTCCATAACTTTATTGGGCCTACCTCCTTTAAATGATCAAAACTAGAGAAGTCCTTGTTCCCCTTTGGCCCAGCCCAAAAAGAGGAATAAGTGGAGTCACGTGGCCCCTGTGTGCGAGATGGGGCATGTGTAGTATTTTTAAAATTCAAATGATCTCCACCTGATCTGCCAAACCATCTGTAATCCGGATAAGGCTTCCTTTGCTGAACACATGTCCCCCAACTTCTTCCTCTAACGCCACTCGCTTCAGGCATGTGAACCACACTCCTCCTTCTTCCTTCACAATTGGCCTTTCTCTACAACTCCCGACACTCCTTCCACCTTTGAAATTCCTTAACTCCTCTCTGTCCCTTTGCCATCATCTTCCACCAGTCATCTTCCTTCAATAGTAGAGAGCCGTCACCACCTTCCAAACTCTCCGTCATTGGGACGAGCTCGGGAACAGAGTCTTTCATCATGAAAAAAAATCGTCGGTGGGCAACGCTTCCATCACGCACCGTAATTCAAACAATCTCAATGTCTTTTGACTCATCTGCCTCCAAAACCCCCACAAAAATCACCTACCGTCACAAAGAGAGCGTGGCACCAGAGATGCAGAGGTAGCCCATACAATACAACCCTCTTCATCGCCTTCTCCTTCAGCAAACCTGCGCAACCCACCCTAAAACACCATTTGTCCACACAAAGAGTGGCGTTACCCCATTTGTGTCGTCCCTCTCTCAACACACGGCTTGCTTCAACTTGCGATGGGAGACGAAACAGAAAAAGCGAATCAGGCATTGGCAAGACTCCAACTCCATAAGAAATACTCCAAGCACGAGAAGGATCGGGGTAACCCTTTTATTTTACCAATTTGAGTAATAATTAAGAATATTTTTATGAAACAACAAAATTAAACATTACACTATACAAAAATAAAAACAAAAATTTCTTTTATGTTACCCGGACTCGAGTACGGGTGTCGGACACGAGTGCGTTTCTATGGTTCGGATTCATCATTCTCCTAAATTATTGGACATGGAGACTCGGCTAAAAAATGTCCAAAAATTGGACTTGGATACTTGGACACGTTACATACTTCAAAAATAATAATTCCTACTTCAAAATTTACATGTAATCTTTTCACTTATAGCTATTTTATGGACATTTATTTATTAGAAGTTAAAGAGGTGTAAAAGTATGAATGTCTTCTTGTGAAAAAAGAGTTTGAAATTGATACGGAGTCTTAAAATAAATAAATAATTATTTTATATATTGTGAGTCAAAGTACTTGGACACGTTACATACTTCAAAAATTTACATGTAATCTTTTTACCTGTAGCTTTTTTATGTACATTTATTTGTTAGAAGTTAAAGAGGTGACCAATGGATGAGTGGCCCAATGGTACCAAGCCCCTACTTCCCAAAGGGAGCTTAGGGGGTTCGAGCCATAGTGTAGGCATGTGTGTGCGAGTACCAACTACAAAAAAAAAAAAAAAAAAAAAAAGGTTAAAGAGGTGTAAAAGTCTGAATGTCTTCTTGTGAAAAAAGAGTTTGAAATTGATAAGGAGTCTTAAAATAAATAAAAATTATTTTATTTACTGAGAGTCAAAGTAAAATTACGCTTTCCAAAAGTTTTTAGCCTATTATCTTTTTATTAAATAAAGAAGAGCTGTCATAGTGTCATCAACTTTTCAGAAAAGAACAGCTGCCATTAACGTAAAACAGCTGTCACTCCCACTCGAGAAGCCTAAAAGTCTCCATTATCTGAAGATGTGGCAGCAGCACAACCTTTCAAAAAACTGATCCAGTGTGTGAAAATACTCTAGGCTGACTCAAAACACCATGCAAAGGGACCGCGTGAAAAAGGTCATCTTCAACTCTCCGAAAAGGCGCCATTTTTGAACCAGAGAGCCTACAAAACCTTCACAAGCATCCATCGCCCCAAACGATCTGCAAGTTTTTTTCACCAACCGTACCCGATAGACACAAAGGAGAGTCGCCATATCTTGTGTCAGTGCCCATGTCATATTGTGTCGACACGGACATCTTGGCCTCCCATGAAGAGTCCAGGTAACATAGACTGTATTACTTTCTTCTTTTTTTTTAGCCTACACTGTATTACTTAACAAGAGGGGAAAAAAACAACATATAGTGTATTCAAATACATAAAATGTGTCTACAAAACTATACAACATTTGCACACATCTACCCATAGCTTACGATTTGGATTTGAGGAGATCCGACACTTTCTACATCGGCATGGTCGCACCCGATACACTTAGCCAAATCTGGGTAACATAGAGGCTGTGGCTGGAGGGTCAAGAATCCATGTTGACCTTACCTTTGGTTCCAATGTGGGCAAGCATGGAAAGGTTGGAAGTGGTCCCATAACCAGTCAGGCACATTTGAGGCTTTAGGAAGGTAAGAGGTTAAGACTGGGGCTTCACAAACCCAGAAATGAGCTTCAATCTAGGAGGTGAACTTGGTGAATTCCATGCTTGGTGCCTCATTTTCTGTCATCCATGGCTGGTTGTAAAGACTGGTTGCGGTTCTGGAAGTCATTTACCTCCGGGCGAGGTGCATCATGGACAAAACAGTAGCTCGTTAAAGCGAGCAGGTGGGTTCGCAATGGGTCTCTCATGGGACACCAGTTGCTTCTTGTGATAGAGACTTTTGGGGCTACGGTGAACAGATTCTTACACGTGTCCCCTTCCTTTTTGTGGATCATTTGTGATCTGAGGATCAACACTTCAACACATGATTACTCCACTTGGTTGGCGTTTTTACTAACAAGCATTTTGAAATTCTCTGATGTCATGTCCCTTTTTTCTGGCTTTTATGTTTGCTTGGCTGACTTGTGTCAGTAATTGGTGGGCTCTCCGCACAAAGCAAAAGTCATCTCAGAACCAGCTGGATTGGACTATGATTTGGCCTTCCTTTTGGATCTGCTTTTGGGTTTGAGGGTTTTGTACTTGGGTAGAGCCTCTGCTCATTGGGCTTGTTTGTTAGTTTTCCATGTTTTAAAGAAATTCATTATTTATGACTGTTTTTATACTTATCCGGACTCTGGGATTGTAAGAGTTATGGACTAGGACAGTCATGTCCTTTTGAAGAGAGGTGTGTTGGCATTCAGTGCGCTTTCAGAGTTCCATTGTCTATCTTTATACTGTCTTTTCAACTAAAAAAAAAAAACTCTTAAAGTTTAGTGATGAATTTTCAGCTGACTTCTACTGCGTATATCAAATTTTTTTTATAAATCTTCTACTACATATAGCAAAGGGACTAACAACATTCTCAACATGAAAAACTTATAGCACACAACAATTATCACTTTGTTTTTATGTTCTTGAAGGAAAATGATTCAACATTATAATTTACTATGATAATCAACTTACCTCAACTTCTGATTCCAGCATTTCCAGTGATCTCTTTTTTGAAAGATCCTTGCTAGATGTCTCGCCATTGGAGGAAAATGGTTCCTGAAAGAAAATGACATGTCAGTTCTCTAAATTATAGGACAAGTTCAAAAGAATAAGAAGAAAAAAGGTATATTTCGTTATTGTCTAAAGCTAATCACGATAATAACCAGCTCAGGTCCACCTGTTCTATGTAGATTTCTATTTTTAACATAGCAGATTCAACCCCAAGGAAAAGGGAATAGGGGAAGAGAGAAAAATGTTATTTGAACCAACAGGCCAGTGGCCTAGCAGTACCAGGCCCCTACTTCCCAAAAAGGAGGTCAGGGGTTCGAGCCTCAGTGGAGGCATGTGTGTGTAAGGTAAAAAACAAATTTGTTATTTGAGGTAGACGAAGTACATAAAAGACAAACTTTTTTAGGTCAAATTTATAAGCATGATCCTATACCAATTCAGGCACTGATGAAAAGACACTACAGTTAATGAGAAAAACTAAAATTGACTTGTGACCTATTTAGACAGGATACTTGGCAGATTTTCACACCATACACATTCAAAAAATGATATACATTCACCAGGGAGTAAACTAATTAATTACACTTGATAATGTTAAGACAAACACCACGAGCCAAGAACAAACCAAGAACCACGAGAGAAAGTTTGGGGTACACAAAAAAACCGGTGAAACCAATAAACCAAACCAGACCGGACAATTAAGTCCGGTTTTCTAACGGTTCGGTCCAGTCACGGTTCCAAAATAGTGGAACCGTAAAATTATTGTTCAGTTTGATTCAAGCTTATTGCAATTTTGTGGTTTAGCCTTTTGGTTCAAACCTTTGATGTTGATTTAGATTGTGTTCTCATTCTTCTGTTATTTGATTTCTTTGCAATTTTTATCCATGTTCTTGTGAAATCAATTATTTATTATTGTTGGAAAATATGGATCCTAATTGATAGAACAGGTTTTTTTTTAAAAATTATAATAACTAGGCATAGATAAATTCCTTTGCAATAATGAGCAAAAAAGTATTTTCTATAGCTACGTAACTGTGATAAATATTTTAAGTACGATGAGAAAATATTAATGTGTAATGTGATCTATTATCTTACTTGAAAAGGGCAAGGCACGAGAGAGCCGAAAATATCCTCTTTTAGATCTGCAGCTCTAATTGAATAAAGAGCATTCTTGAGCCCACACGAGAGAAGATATTCCTCAGTGTCCTTGGGCATAGAGTAGCCTTTGTACACACCCACAGGAGGATCGCATATCTATCAGGAAAAGAAAAAGGCAATTATACACTTATTTAATAACAAGTCGTGTAATTACATAGAAGAAACAGTTCTAAATGTAAACTTCCTGAGATGGCTTTCGAGGATCAATTAAGCGAAGAAGCAAGAAACATATATCCAGAAAATTAAAAATTAGCATGCTACCATCTGCCAACTGAACTGACTGATTTCAATCATGGACAACCAAAATATATATAGATAGATTTTATTCAAAAAGACTTGCCTCAAAGTATGATGAAACTCTTATGCTTCGTTTGGTTTGAGGGATGGAAAAATGGATGTAAGGGAGAGGAGAAGAGATGAATGAGGCATCCCTAGGGAAGGGAAGGTGTCTCCCTCATTTTTTGTTTGGTTGGATGGAATGAATAGTAGAAAGGATGTATGTGGTGACACATTTTTTTTGTTTGGTCGGAAGGAAGGGAAATAGAGTTTTATATTGTTTTTACTAATATACCCTAATTATAAAAATAAAAATCCATTCCAAATTATGCAACAACAAGGTTAAAAATGGAAATTAAAAACTTGTTGGTTATTATCCTGCTTTCTCTCTCCTCTTCCCCCAATTTTGGGCGGATAGAAAATTACAAAGGAAGGAGGGATGCTTGCTGCCTCCCTCTTTTCCCTTCCCTTCAACCAAACACAAAAAAAACTTCTTTTATCCCCCCTCTCATCCTTCCCTCCAACAAAACATAGCATTAAGATTAATCATCCTCAAAAACGAAAGAGATGTTCCCATTTGGTTGCAAAATGTAAATAATGAGTGCTGATTGCTGACTAGTTTTAACAAATGAAATTTCAACCAAACAAAATACATATACTAGTAGTAGCTTTTCATGCAAGATTTTATGATTCAATACAAAACATAAATGTGCCCATGCAGGTCTATATCCTTCATTACCCTTAAAAAAATGTAAATTGTTCAAATCTCACATAAAAATGAATAAAATAAAAAGATGAGATATTAAACCATTATAAAACACGTGCATTGCTAATTTACTTGAAGAACCAGAAAATGATAAATCACAGCATAATATGGGTAAAGAATAATTACCGAAGATCCAACTTGAGCCTGACAATCACTTAAATTCTTGTAAACACCAACAATATCACCCTTCCGCACAACAAAGAATGCATCCTTCTCTTCTTCCATCATCGGTTTAGGATCCACCTTTTTTGCAGTAGACTTACTTTTGCTGCTGCCCTTTCGAGATGAGTAGCACTGAATGCGAAATCTTGACAACACAAACTCTAAATCAACAGTTCTAACAGACAAATGCTCAAATTTTGTTTTCCATGTAGGAATGAACAATCTACTCAATGGACTCCTTGCAACCAAACAACTAGTCCTTGATAATATGGCCGTAGAATATGCACGAAACAAGCAATTCATCCCAGAAAAGTTTCCCCGAAATTATCCAGATTTCTGGAATAAAAAGTCTCAGATTAAAACCAATTCATATATAATGCACAATTTCTCAAGGACAATTTCCAGTCAGTTCATTTGAAAGCAATACTTTGACTTAACCCTTTTTGTTTGATTGAGATAAAATGGAGGAAGAAGAATTTGACTCAATTCAACTCAAACAAGTTGAATACAGGTTTAATAGATAATACGTGTTTTAATGCTTGTGAGGTTTCCTGCAATTGCGTTCAGAGCCAAAAAAATCACTCAGATCATAATTCACATATTTAGCTTGGGGTTTCAAGACCAAAACATAAGCAAACAAAACAACCCAAGAATGCCCATTTTTAAGGGAAGTCATTGGAATAAACCCCAAGGCGACTATTACTGAAATCAAAGAGATACCCAGCTCAAATCAAGACTACCACTACCATGAACTTGGTTCAATTTGACATGATTATAGTTGCAATGATTTTCAGATACAAGAATGAACCCAAATGAAGCAACTCAGCAAGCCCACACGCCAGACACCTCTGAAACCACAACTTACCAAGTAACCACTTCAAGTGAAGCAACAATCACTAACACAAAGCAAACCTGAAATCATTCCCCAATACCCACCTGAAATTGAAGAAACCCAGGACGTTACTTCAATCTAAAAACAGTCATTGCTGCCTTGTGTAGAAAGAGAAAGAAGTAAAACTTCAGCCCATATCCCAAAACACCTTGCAAATCCCAAAAGGAACCCGACTATTTACAAATTGCAATTGAAGCAATCAGCACTAGCAAGAACCCTAGTACACCCAAACCCAAAACCCAAATGCCGCACTCAGAGTTGAATCGACTATTTTATTGATTTTGGGGTTTTCCTGAGTCTAAAATCATTATTTTAGCATGATTTCAATATCTTTTATTTTCCTTTGCTACAGTTTCTCGGCAACCAATGAACAAATTACGTTCGAGCGAGTGATCAAATCGATATTAAAAAAAAAAGGAAAATCTTCGAAAACAAATATAAACTTACCACTTGATTGTAGAACTAGCTGTGTAAAGGTGTCGAGTCTTGGAAGCCCGGCGCTGCTGTCTAAACTGGAAAGAGAGAGAGAGAGGGGGTGTTTTTTGGAAGGTTAAAATGGAGGATTAAAAAAAAATAAAGAGCGAAAGTAAAAAAAATACGCCGTTGCCGGGGATCGAACCCGGGTCATGTAACAGGCGGATAAGGGCCTTCAGCTTGTTCAAGACTCAAGTTCCACCCAAATTTACCAATTAGTTTTTCAAATCCGGCAAAGGAAGATCCTGTTTCAGTCATTATCTTCACAAATATTTATAACTAAAATTCATAAAATAAATTAAAAAAAATTATATAAAAAATGATATTAAAAAATTTCATAAACTGGGTTTTGATATAGGTAATAGGTTATGAACTTTTGATACTTGCAAACAGATGGATAAACTGGGTTTTGAACTTCTGGTTCTTGTAGATTTTGTAGTTTGCAGCTGCACAGACAGACAGAGAGAGAGGCGGGGGGCGGGGGGGAGTTCAGAGTTGAGAACGAGAATGGAGAGATGGAGGTATTGGGGAGGCTGAAATGATTGGGTCAGGGCCGGCCCTGGGCTTGTTTGGATTGGGCTTTTATTTTAGTACGATGGTTTAGTTGACTTAGGCTTAATTGGATGGGCTAAATTTTTTTTTTTTTTTTTTTGGGTGGGCTATCAAAACCTTCTAATTTGATTAATCATTTGATGTAGGAGTGTAGGACAGAATTTTCACGAGTCTATTTTTGATAAATCAATGGCATTTTTTGGGTCGAAGTGATGCATTGAAAAAAATCCACTAGCTTTAGCTTGTGGGTCATGCTAATTATCAGCTGAAAACCTTCATTTAGAGCTCCAAAATTGTGTTTTATTGTGTTATAAAAGGTTTACGAATTTGACATTGCATCTACCCTTCATGCTAATTTGATTGATCATTCGACTCATACATAAGTGGAATTTTGTCCGCGCGGGTTAATCAACACTTTAATCAGAGAGATCTTGACCTCATTCTTCAAATTCCTCTTAGTTCAATGGGTGGAGTTTGGGATGCTTCCATTAATGATGGTTTGTTTTCTATTAAGAGTGCTTACAGAGTGGCCCTTTCTATTCTCAGACACTAGCATGCTTGGAAGGGGCAGTTTTGAAGCTGTCAAAGGTTTTATTTGGAATGGTACAATATTTTGTCGTCTTTCATGATGTCTCTTCTCTCCAGCCTTAAGAGTTGTAAAGGTGCTTACTTAGCTCGGTTGGCTCGGAAAAACAATGTTGTCACTCACTTGTTGAGCAAAAAGTCTCTTGTAGCCAAATGTGTTTAGAGGGTCGGGCTGCCAGAGGCTCTCCATCCATCCTGTAATGTAAATAATAATAAAAAATCCCCTATAAAAAGTTTACTAGTCTTTGTACACTTCTCTCTATCTGGGTTAATCCCTTTCTATTGAGTTTCCATGAGCTTTCATTATATATTGTTCACATTTTTACATATTTTGGAATTTTTCTTCAGCATCTTTCGGCAATTAAGGGTTGAGAGTTGATTTATTTTCTCGTGTGACCCAAGAGAACAGTTGTAGTGATCTGATTGCACTTGCGCTCAAGTTCAAAAGCAAAATTATCCACAGGGTTTGCACACGTCATCTTGTAATATAAACTTTAAAAGCATTTCATTTTATTGATGCAATTTTTATACAAATAAAAATTAATAATGGCTTTCTCAATTATCATTCTTAAAATATATATATATATACTACCCCTAAAAAAATTTTAAATAAATAAAAAAGAATGAAGGAGGTTGGATCCACTTGCACACCGATCAGCATAACTAACTATTGCTCCTCTGTGTACCCTGGATTCTCTTTTAAGATCACAAAACCCTCCAGCATAGGAGAAAGGGGAATATACCTACAGAATCGGTGAAATTTAGTATCCATCCACACACGTAAAATATAAGAAAAGTTTATAAAACTTTCAAAGAAGAATTTTAGTACTTTTTTGTTGCAAGATCTGCTCTTTCCCCAGCAGCCAGAAGTGCTGGGGTTGAGTGAGTCTGGAAACCGGCCAGTAATGGTCTTGGGTCGACTTGCTTGACCAACAACATCAACCGCTTGGCCTACCCGAACAGGTACTGACAAAGGCTTTAGATTTTCATCCACTGTCAACAGCATTCTTGGCTCGAAGGAAGCAAGAATACATAATGAGAAGGAATTTATGATTTACACAACCAAAATACAGAGACGGAATGAAGAGGGGACGGAGAATGAACCTGCATTCCCAAAACCAAGAAGTAAAGAACATAATGATATTTCCCCAGTATGATGACTTTCATGTCAAGACATGCATGCAACAGGGTTACTATTCCAGCCAGTGAATCATGAATGAAAGAAGAAAAATAAATAGGCGAGATGACGAAAAAATTAAAAATTAAAAATAAAAATAAAAACAATATATAAATATTATTACAAGCATGTGATAGTGTAGCTTAGAAGGTAAATTTGATAAAAACACGTACAAAATTTCACCCAAGTAAATTTGATAATGTAGCTCAAAAGGTTAAGGGATGCTCATTTGAACACATCCAAACCTATATAATTCTTAATTTAGAGCAATAAACATACATTTCATTTGCATATCAGACATTCTAGGAGTTTGTTTAGGCATTTCTGGACATTCCATGGAAATGAAATCATTCCATTCTGTTTCAAATAGCAACTAGTTTGCATGCTCTGAAACTCCATGAAATTCTTTCACTCCATGAAAATTAGCAAGTTATTTCAATATGAATGCTTATCCTCAAACCTCTGCAACTGCATTTATCTCCCAATGAATTTGCATGTATAACAAAAGCCTAAGGTTACAAGGCAAATTCCTTTATTGACAGAGAAACACTTACGGGTATAATAAGAAGCGTTCAGAATGGTATGGAGCAAGAGTCAACAAGCCCTTCCCCAGATGCACAAGACCTTGAGCAATTCGTACCTGCAAAAGTGGCAATTGCAAATCATTATATCTCTATTAGAACCTTAGAGATACATATGTATGTGTCTGTAAGTGGCTCAAGAGAAATTTCCAAAAGTGGCAGCTTGGGAGAAGTCTTACACAGAAGAGAAGACTAGCTTCCTTGTAGTAATAACTCGAAAGGTTCCGAAGCATGCCAGCTATTCTAGCATTGTTGGTTCCTGCACCTATCAACCCCAAGGAGATTATGGCAGCCTGTACAATAAAAACAAATTTTAAGGCTTTAGCCTATAAAGCAAGTAAATTCTATTGACAATAATGAAATGACGACGATGAAAACAACGGGATATAAAGCTAGTTCTTGCATGTCCATACCATTGCTACTTTTGTATCGATATCATGACTAAGTCTACTTCATGTGTCCATAACATTGACCTGATCATAACACCCAATCAACAAACAGGTTAGCAAATCCTACTCATAGAAGGAGACGGCATAAATCTTTGTAACACAATTCACCAATATTGGAAGTCCGATCGACTACCTTAGGATTTGATATGCATAGGAGACCAAGGGCCAAAGGAACTGCCCTTCTGATATTCTGTTCACCGTATTGTAACAGATGCTCTATTAAGCGAATTTACATCTCAACGCCCAGGTCTTCAGCCATTGCTACCATAGCAAGTCCAACTACAGCTGCTCCCTGATGGTTTGCATCCTTCTCAAGATGTTGCCCACACTGACCGAGAAGGTGTTGGACCTATGAGATAAATAGATAGTTAGATTTCATGTATGTAACAGGAATCTACAAGTGCAATTCACTAGCTATTAAATACCTTGAGCACATTTCCTATTCCTGCATAGGCACACGAAAGCAAGTTCACATCACAATATTTTCTGATTTTTTCATTTAATGTCTTTGAAACTTCTGTTGTTCCCTCCATACTTTCCTGTTAGATATAAAAAAGGAATCCCAAAAATAATAGAATAATATAGCTTGTAAGTATCATGTTTACACATTGTACTAAATTTTTTCCAAATATAACACAAAATAAAATAAGAAAACTCCGAGAATATAATTCTCAATGAGGTAATGCAATCAAGAGAGCTCCCTCGTGACAAGAGCCATGAGCTTTCTATCTTTTTCCATTGGATTCAGACAGTTTTTTGAGATTTGTGAAAAATTAAATTAATTTAAATGCATCTTTCAATCCAGTGGTGAAAATATGGACAACTCATAGCTTGTCATGAGGGAGCTCACTTGATAGCATTACTCATTCTCAATTAACTCGAACCAACAGCTATAGTAAATTCTGAAAAAAGGAAACCGTGGCTTGTAATTTAATGTTACCTGCTTCTCAAGGTATAGAAGATCAAGGCCAAGAAGCAAAAGTCGTGTAAGGGGCTCTCCTAATTCTGATTCACTTCGGTCCATTAATGCAAATATAATTGCCTGAGCAACCTCTTCATTACAAGAACCCACATATACCAAGCCCAACGAAATTGCAGTGAACGCAATCACGTCAAGGGGTGCTTTTGCATCTCCAAGGATAGGAGCCAATTTACTGAAGATCTGGAAAATGAATGTAGATCATTTGGCTTCAAGAGGAACAAAACATATTTTAAAGAAAATGAAACAATCAGCCAAGTCAGTAACCTTTGTAGGCCCTTCTTTTTTTAAAAAAAAAAAAAAAAAAAGAAAAAATCCCAAAACAATCTTTATATGCTCAGCAATCTATGGTTGCAGTGACTACAATCTATGTGATTACAGTGAATGCAATCACAATGTTGAATAGATAGAAGGATGCAACTTTCAAATTTAAATAACAAAAAAGAGGTAGCTCATTCCAGCCACACATTATATTATTGCCATGAACTAGAAAATAATAAGTTGGCAAAAATCAAGGGATCCACCTGCTCATTCTTAGCACCTGCATAAGCAAGGCCCAGGCCCATTATTGCTCCGATTCTGATAGAATCATCTTCATTATATATGTAATCAGCAAGCAGTGCCAATGCCTGGAGAAGAAATTCTGTGAGCAAACTACAGATCAACAGTCATAGAGATGTTCTTATGCATGCTAAAAATATTAAGTGAAACTCACAGGATCACAATCATTCTTAGAATTGCAGTTAAATAATTCCGACTCCCAGTAATGCACTCACAATGACATGGTTGTCATTGCTGTGGAAATACTTGTCAATTTGAGCAAGTCCAGAATCAACATCCCAAAGCAAGATCATACCCTACAATGAGGAATAATGATGAGAGTCCGCCGACAATACATTCATTCACAACAGAGAAGACTGATAGTAAAGAACTATATACCAGACTTGCTACAGCACTGGCTTTCCCATGTTCTTTATTTTTGAAAAGCCAATTGCCTGAAGAACCACCACTTGAAGCTTCTGATGGGACTGCGATTAACTTATCCTTCAACTAGAAAGCAATCGATGTTACAAAAACCCACCGACACTAGTTCATATGCGCATGGAGAATACAAAATTTCACCTGTCCAAAGCCAGCATTTAGTTGTAATTTGTATTTTCTA